GAAAATGCTGTTGGACATCTCTCTATGTTGATACAGAAATATGTTCATGACGCACGGCTGAGAAAAAGCAATCTGTTTAAAAACTATACGTGTGTACTACGATGTGGTACCCCAGACTGGATCCTGGAACAGAAAGAAGACATGGGTAGAAAATGCCGCGGAGCGGCTGCGCCCGTGAGCCGTGGCCGCTGAGCCTGCGCGTCCGGAGCCTGTGCTCCGCAACGGGAGAGGCCACAGCAGCGAGAGGCCCGCGTACCGCAAAAAAAAAAAAAAAAAAAAAGACATGGGTAGAAAAACTGGGGTGATCCAAATAAAATCTGTGTTTAACAGTAAGGTACCGATGTTCCTTTCTTAGTTTTGACAGATAGCCATGGTTATGTAAAATATTCATGACATTTTATCCTTCACGGGTGAAGGACACACAGGAACTCTGTACGACCTTTGCCACTTTTCTGTTTATCTAAAATTATTCCAAAATAAAGAGTTTAAAAAAAGCATATGAGAACACTTAAAATTTGGGGGAGGATTTTTAACTAAAAGATTAACAGGGGGCTTCCCTGGTGGAGCAGTGGTTGAGAGTCCGCCTGCCGATGCAGGGGACGCGGGTTCGTGCCCCGGTCCGGGAAGATCCCACATGCTGCGGAGCGGCTGGGCCCGTGAGCCATGGCCGCTGAGCCTGCGCGTCCGGAGCCTGTCCCCCGAAAGGGAAGAGGCAAAAGCAGTGGGCGCCCCAGGAACCGAAAAAAAAAAAAAAAAAAAAAAAGATTAACAGATTACCTCTGAGTGCTGTGATTATAGGTGATCTTAATTTTCTAGTTTCCAATGAGAGTTATTTTAGGTTAAAAAAAAATCAATAAAGCTCACTCTGTCTGGCAAAGGAAAGTAGCCTACGAATATAATTTTGTTGTTATCATTGTTCTGACCCGATAGCCTATCTCTCGCTCCGTTAGATTTCATAGAGTCCTGCAGGATTTTTAGTTCTTCCTTCTGGGTACGGCCAGGCAGGCAAGATGGTCTATGATGAAGGGCATATGATGAAGCCTCTCTGGAATCAGGGAGTCCGTGTTTGAATCCAGCTGTGTGGTCTTAGCCAATTACTTACTTTGTCTGTGGATCATTTTTTCAGAATCTGTAAAATGGGTTTTATGACCCTGACCTCATAAGGCCATTTTTAAGAGCTAATTGAAGTAATACTGTGTTACTAACAGTGGATGCCTAGGTGGTCTCTGTCCCTAAGAGAATCTGATGTTTGTTCTGTCTTACCCTGAATACATCTTTTCTGAAAACTTCTACACTAAAGCATTACCACTTAGATGATAGAAGAGAGTGTGAATTATATTTATTTGTTAATTCACTTAATAAGAATTTATGGGCCGTTACTAAAACGTTGAGTATTGGAGAATCATGATTTTGCTGTTCCCAGTTCATTCCCACCGTCCCGTGCCCTGTGCCCAAATAATCTTTGCGGGTTGCATTTGTATATGTTGTGTCTAAATGGGGCCAATTGGAAAAAAATCCTTCGTAGGTGTGATTTTTTTTTTTTCTCTCTCTCTCCCTCTCAGCCCATATTCTGTCATAAAGGTGCATTGACTTCAAATGTCCTTGCCCTACCTTACCTCTAAGTACTTGAGAAGTCTCCATGTGTCCCTGGGGGTGTGGGTGTGGTCCTCATCCCTTGTGGTGACTGATAAAAGATGTTTCCATAAACTCGCGTGTCCAGGAAGGTTGACCCCAGGATGGTCAGCTCAGAGCCGGAGCCTGGTGCTTTCCTGCGGAGAATGGAATGTTCTGCCCTGGAAACCATGCCACCTGCATTCTGAAAGCAGCCGGGCCACTGCTGACCTCTCTAGAAAGGTCACTAGAGCCTGTCCGAGCCTCCCTCTCCTCCGTAACAGCATGTGGGCTGCTTAGTTTTCCTGGGTCTGATGTTCTGTGATTCTGGAACATTTGGCAAAAGGAGAGGCACCACCCTCACTCACCCTCCAGAACACAAGACAAAAAGCATCCCCAGCCGACATCAGAGGCTCCAAGGCTTTGAACATACCATTCAGGAAGATGTTTATTTAATATTGGCTAAAAATAGACGACTTTACCTTTGGAAAAAAAATTAAATAGCTAGGAGGGCTTCAAAGCATTTCCTCTCCCTTCTGCTTTCCAGGAGGAGAAATATTTTTCAAAGTCGTTTGAATATTAAAGAGGAGGGCCCCCAAAGCCCTTGGTATCTGAGATGGAGATCAGTGAGTCAGTCAAGTATTTTTCAGAAGGTGGTTTTGTGCACAGTTTGAAACAGGGACCCTTCCCCTGCGCCGTGACGTCCCTTCTTCCTTTTTCCCTTTTTTATTTCCTGCGTCAATCCTGTATGTGTGCCGAGAAACTTAACCCATTTGTTTCTGAATCATTTCCACTTAGCAAAATGCTATTTAGCGAGAGGTATTTCAAGTCCAAGAGGTGCTTAATCCGAGGAACAGGAAATTGTATCTTGTGCGGAGTAACTGGCTGCAGACCCAGGCTGCACTGACTTTGGTCTTGACCTAGACCCCGAAGTGAATCTCTACGTCAAGTGGCTTTAAACCCAGCCCTGAGTGCCTCCCAGGTCTGGCCTGCCTCTCGACTCTCCCCAGCCTCCTAAATCTATACTCCATGGGTTTGTGTGAACAGCTCTGAAAACTCACCACATCAGTGTTCTTTTCACATGAAGCTGTTTGAGATGCCCTGCATTGTAATGGAAAATCACAAATATGTGTACAAATTGAAAGAATCGTACGTTGAGCACCCATATACCCACCGCATCGATTCTATAATTGACTTTGGCTAGACTTGCTTTATCAGATGTCCAGCCTAATTTCCAGGCGTCTTACTGTCCCATATTCTTTGATCCATTCAAAGTAAGTGACACGCACGCGTATGCTTCCCTCCAGATACTACAGCGTGCATATCATTAGCTGGAATTCGATATTTGGTCGCACGGTGTTTTTGGTTTCGTTTTAAGGTGAAATTTACATGCACTGTTCCGCACAAATCGGAAGTGTCCCATAGAGACAGACGCTCCCAGCACCCCAGCAAGGTCCCACGTAGCCTCTGCCAGTTTGTCCCCACCCTCACGCTCCCAGTGGCAATGGTTCTGCTGATTCTTTTTCTCCCCAGATTAGTTCTGCCGATTCTGAGGGGAACTTCATATAAACAGAGTCATGCAGTGTGTATTCCATGCTGTACCTCTTACTCTTGTACTCAGCACAGTGTTTTTGAGATTCATCCACGTTATCGCATGTAGCAGAGGTTTGTGCCTCTGTACCGCTGGGCACTGCTCTATCAGGTGACTACCCCGCAGTTTGTCCACCCGCCTATTGATGGGTTCCTGCCCTCTTTCCAGTTTGGGGCTTTATTTTATTTACTTATTTATTTTTTTGCGGTACGCGGGCCTCTCACTGCTGTGGCCTCTCCCGTTGCGGAGCACAGGCTCCAGATGCGCAGGCTCAGCGGCCATGGCTCACGGGCCCAGCCGCTCCGCGGCATGGGGGATCTTCCCGGACCGGGGCACGATCCCGCGTCCCCTGCATCGGCAGGCGGACTCCCAACCACTGCGCCACCAGGCAAGCCCCTGTTTGGGGCTTTTTTGAATAAAGGTATCATGAACGTTCTTGAACAGAACTTCTTGTGGCCACATGTTTTCATTTCTCTCGGGTAAATAACTAAGAGTGGAATCGCTGGGTCACAGAGTAGGTATCTGTTTAGTTTTATAAGAAGCCACCAGACGTTTCCCCAAAGTGCCTGCAGCCTTTCACGCTCTGACCAACAATGCGTGAGTGGTTGTTCCTCTAACACTTGGCACTGTCACCTTTGACTGGTTCAGCCGTTCTGGTGCGTGTGTGGTGGTATCACGTGTCCTCACTTTTTGGTGTGCGTGTTGCCTCTGCTTAGACACACTATAGGTTGAGAGGGCAGGAGGAGGGATGCTGATGTAAGGATGACTTCCTGGGCAAGCTTCCCTCTGGTTTGACCTCTGAGGACCTCAGGAACCTTCCTTTCTCTTAGGAAACCAGAACTTTCTGATTCCATTTTCCAGCCTCGCTCTTGCAGATCTGTTTTCCCTCCTTAGATGATAAACGTCTCCGTGGCAGGCTCTGTGTCTCCATCAGATTCCCAGTGCAGGGAGCACAGCAGGGCTCCTCGGGGATTTGGGCAAGCACAGCTCATTCCTGTGACTCTAGGACCTTCTACATCACCAGACCTAGCCCCTGAGACCAGGGAGGGCTCTTCAGGTCAGCTGGGTCCCCATGTCCAGCAGAATGAGAGACACGTAATAGATAATCAATATCTGAATAAGGGGATAGAGTTGCCTTTTCCCTCTTGCGAGTTTTTTTATCCATTGATTCAATAAGCGTTGTCTAAGGGTCTGCTGTTTCCACGGTGCTAAGCTGGGGGCTGAGGGCTGTTTGGAAGTAAATAAGCCATGGTGCCTGCCTTGGGGAGCTCTGTCTGTTCGGGATAGAAGGTGAATGAAAGCAGCTGGACTTCCAGGCAGAAGGTGGTCAATGCTGGGAGAGATTTGAGGAAAGGAAGTGCACACTGTCACTTGTCACCTGCATGAGTGACCCAGCTGTGGCTTATCTCCGACGCCTCCATGTGCCACGGGATCATCATGGTTTCCACCTCACAAGGTGGTTGTGGGGATTAGAATCCCAGCCGAGAAAGTCCCGAGCATGATGCCTGGTACCGAAAGCTCACTGGAAGAGAGAGAACTCGCAGAATCATTGCGTTTACAGGTGTGTTCGATCTGGGACTCAAAAGCCATTCAACTCCAGTGGGTAAGGTGGATCTCTCCCAGCAAAGGCATAAATTCCTTAAAAGCTGGGATCATCTCGTCCGAGTTTTCTGGGCTCTCCCTCGAGTATATTGTCCCGAGTCTATGACTGCAGACCGAGTGTATGCTCCATGTTCAATGGAGATCCATGTGTAAGGGCTTTTTTTTTTTTTTTTTTTTTAAGTTTGAAAAGGAAGCATAAAGCCCACAATGGGTGTGGCCCTAGCTCTGCCCACAGACCTGGATAATGTCAGGCAGGCTCTTCAAAGCAGGGTTTTACAATTACAACAATGGGTGCTTCATAAGGATTTGATGGTATTCTTGGACCCGGGACCCAGACTTCTCTTCCTGCCCGGCCGCGGGCGATTGGGGCTCCCCCGGCTGAGTTTGGCCTCTTCTTAGTAACAACGATTGTAAATAATCAACGTGAGACGCCTACAGGGATGAGCCTTTGTGAAGGATGGAATCACAGCCCCATTTCTAAAGTATGAGCGTGGAGAGAGCTGGTGAGCCGACAGGAATCGGAAATCTCCCTGCAGTTGGTCCTTTGCGTCCAGTTCACTTTGGCGTCGCTTCCCAGGGCTCCGCACTTCAAATCACCCTCCACCGTTTCTTCACCTGCCTTCCCCTCTGGGTCCTGTCTCCACAGGGCACCCTTCTAACATCTGGACCTGATGTGAGAGGCAGAGAACCGTCTGGATTCCCCTCCCGGCCTCCCTCTCCACCGCCCTTTTGATCCAAGATTGAGTAAGAGACATTGGCAAGAAACTGGGCAAGACAGCTCAATTGTTTGAACTTGCAGAGAGAGGGGGAGGTGGGTTCTCTTCTGCCAGTGACTCATGGACCCGGTCCCCCGCCCCCCGCCCCCCTGCCCTTGGAAAGGTCAAAACCCGATACAAACCCAGCAGCAAACCACAAGCAAGCTGCCCCCTTGTCTGTACACACACTCAGAGTTCAGACACCCCTGGAGAGGGGTCCCCCAGGATGAGTTCCTTCTGATCTGCTTTGTATTTCCGGCTCTGTTCTGTGGCATCAACGTCCTGTTTTAGGGGCTTGCTCTGTGGATGCAGGGTATGATTCTGAGGGTTAGGGGACCAGGCCACCCTGCTTAAAAGCCAGGGTGATTGGACCGTGCCCCATACAGCACGCTTCCCCCCTGCCTACCCTGCTCCCCTCCGTCTCCCCCACCCCGTGGTGTTGCGGAGGTGGGGGGGGGTCCCCTCTCTGCGGAGCTCTGAGAACAGCTTTTTCTCTGTTTCCTGGACTCTGAAGGCAGGAGCTGGGGTTCCCGGGCCTGCAGCGCGGGCAGATCATGTAACTCATCCAGGCTTCATTCCTATGCAGGACAGGTAGGCTGCAGGCTCTAACAAGCCGCCAGCCAGGCTCCACTGAGGCCTCGGCACCAGTGGAAATTTTAAAAAAAGAGCGAGCAGGAGGGAGTGAGCAAAGAGAGAGAGGGATTATTTTGTTTCAACGTGTTTGAAAGGGGGATCTGTGGCCAGTTGGGTTTTTTTTTTTTTTTCCCTCCCCCCACTTATTTACACAGTCTGTTCAGAGACACACCAGGGCCTGTTTGGATTGGGTGTTTGCTTCGGAGACCGGCCAAGGATTTCAGCTCTGCGCGTTGGCACTGCCATCTCGGCGGCACCAGGAGGCCCAGCCGGTCACAGGACCTCACGGGGCCTCCTTTTGCTCTCTGCTTATCCTCCTTTCACCTCCTCTGCTTCCCTTGGTGCGAGTGAGGCTGCCCGCTGAGTGGACTTCGCCTTCAGAATGAGAGCTTTCGGAGGCCAGGGCAGGGGTGCGAAGGGTGGAAAAGACAGAGAGAAGGGCTGGGGTGCAGACCTTGGGATCGATGCTTTTCTAGAAGCGTCTGGATTCCCCAAGGGTCTGTGATGAAACTTGCAATGTGTGGACTAGTTCCAGGCTTGGGGGGGTAAGCGGTGGCCGGAGCCCCTGGAAGCGTGTGTGAGGGATGTTCTCTTGGGGATGGTGAGCTGGAATAAGGCTTGTCTGGGGAGGTAGAAGAGGGCAGAGCCGGCCAGCGCTGCGTTCCAGGCCTTCGCCACACCAAGCGGGTTGCAGCCTCAGCATCCATCGGCAGCTGGAAATGCAGACTCGGGCCCCACCCAGGCCTACTGAATGGGAAGCTGCATTTTCACAGGGTCCCCAGGTGGTTCGTGGGTGCCTGAAAGGTTGAGAAGCACAGCTCTGGGCCCGTGGTTCCCAAGGGGAGTTTCCTGACATCCTTCTCGTACCTCGAGATGCCCTTTTCTCTGTCTTTCCACTCTTGCACAAAAGGATTCTTTGGAGAATGTTGCAAAATGCACATCCCACCCTCACCCCCGCCTTGGAAATTAATATGCTTATATCTGCTGGGGGAAGTCTCAGAAGTTCTGCAGGAAGAAATCTGTTCAGTTTGCTTTAACCCAGTGTCTCCGCAGTTTGACTCAGATCTGCCATTTCTCCCCCTGGAAAAATACTACTCTGGTGGGTCAGAGTTTACCCTTGGGATCTTCCAAGGGGCTTACTTTTACTGTAGACAAGAGGAATAGAACATAGTGGTTACGATGTGGACTCAAGCTAAACGCCTGGGTTCTGATAGTGGCTCAGCCACTTACTAGGGGTGTGACTTTTTGCTGTTATAGAGCTGCTCTGTGCCCTTGGTTTTGCCCTCTGTAAAATGGGAAGAGCGATAGTACTTGCCAGATAGAATTGTGGTGAAGTTTAAATCACTTAATACAGACTTAAATCCCAGGGAGTCTAGATGAATAATCCCAAACCCAGCTGTGCATCAGAATCACACAGGAAGCTCTTTAAAAGGCACAGTTTCCAGAGCCTCACACCAGGTCCACTGAGTCAGTCTCCAGCAGGAGAGCCTGGGAACTTGCCTTTTGTAAGTTCCGTGGGTGATTCCAACGCAGCAAGCCTTTTCTTAGGTGGCTGGGGAGCTACAGCAGTAGAACTGGTTTTCTGTAGCTGAGTAAGGGCAGCCCTGACGTCCCACCCTGGTTTAAGCCCAGCCCTTCCGTGGGGAGTGTGCAGTCTGGTCTGGGACCTGAAATTAGTGGCAGAACCTTCTCTCTGCTCTTCAGTCTCCACATCTATAACATGAGAGAGCCATGCAGTGTGGTCCTTGGGTCCACCACATCAGCATCATTTGGGACTTCTTGCTGGAAATGCAAACTCTCAGGCCCTACCCCAGACCTACTGAATCAGAATCCGCATTTTAACAAAATCCCTGGGAGGTCCTTGTTAAACAGAAACAGCGCCTCTCCATCTGCGGGAGTCAAATGCCTTCCTTCTTGATGAAAGGAGAGCTGGGTGAAGCTGAGGATGGTGCCGAACTGGTGAACGTCGACTTGGTGACCCTCTGGTATCCATTCATTCTGGAGAAGAGGAAATGGGCTTCAGGAGCCTCGGGGATTATGGTCAGATTGATGAGATCGTTTCCTGATGTTGAAGGTTGTGAGTTCCTGGGACGGTTTGCAGGAATAAGTAAGCTTTGGACAGGCGTCTCTAGAGTTTATTAAAATGAGATTGGTTGCTATGCATCCATTTTGCAAATGTTTATCTAGCTAGGGGTTAGGGTTAGGGCCAACTCTGTGCTAAGCTTGGGTACCAGTAAGTTGAGAAGCACTTGTAGGAGGCAGTGATTCCGTATCGCTGCGTTTATATTCATGCTTCTCATCGCGAAGGGGAGGCACATACGTGCTTGTGCACAGAGCTTTGCACGGACCAGCAGGGCACTCTGGCACGGCTGATGGCCTCGCGGCGGTGTATCACTTATCTACTGCTGTGTAACAAACCGCCTCAAAACTTAGGGGCTTAAAACAGCCACTATTTTATTGTTCATGGTTCTGGAATCTGGGCTGGGCTTGGCTGGGTGATTCTTCTGTTGGTCTGGGTGGTAGTTGCTCGGGAAGTTTCATTCAGCTGTGGGCTGGGCTCAGCTGGGTCACTGGGACACCGGCCCTTTCTCTGTATTATCCTGATCATTTCAGGGCTTCTTTTTCTCGACATGGTCTCTCTACGTGATCCCTCCTATAGGGCAGCATGACTGCTTACACGGCTGCCAGATCTCCTTAAGACTTAGGCCTGGAACTAGCACAGCATTGCTTCTGCTACATTCTATGGGTTAAAGCAAGTCGCAGGGCCAGCCTGAATTCAAAGGTGGACAGCGTGAGGCTGTGGTATCAGGAGACGAGTTTCAGTGAGAGTCGCCGACCTGATGTTAGCACAAGAAGTTGAGGCTGCCGATACCTAAAGCTGGCTGATGGGAGAGGTCTCATCTTGTATCTGAGAAAGACAAGACTGACTCTGAATCACAGCTCTGACCCCTCCATTACCTTTTCCCATTCCCTCCATATTTCTAGCTGAATGCTTTGTGGCTAAACTCCCCTTCCTCAGTTTTGTTTTGTTTTTTTTAAGTTTAGTCTTTTTTTTTTTTTTAAATAAATTTATTTATTTTTGGCTGAGTTGGGTCTTTGTTGCTGCGCGCGGGCTTTCTCTAGTTGCGGCGAGCGGGGGCTACTCTTCTTTGTAGTGCACGGGCTTCTCATTGCAGAGGCTTCTCTTGTTGCGGCGCACGGGCTCTAGGCGCGCCGGCTTCAGTAGTTGTGTCTCGCGGGCTCTAGAGCGCAGGCTCAGAAGTTGTGGCACACGGGCTTAGTTGCTCCGTGGCATGTGGGATCTTCCCGGACCGGGGCACGAACCCGTGTCCCCTGCATCGGCAGGTGGACTCTCAACCACTGCGCCACCAGGGAAGCCCCCCTCAGTATTTTTTAAAAGCAGCAGTGCCATCATTCTTCTGGTTATCAGACTCTAAAAAATGAAGTGAGGTTCAGCCCTTCCCCTTCTGTCAGGTCTCCGACGAGGTTTCCTATCCAGTTGAACACAAAAAGGGGTATTGAGCAGGGATTGGCAGGACTTGGCGGCTACTTCTGTTGCTACTACCTCATGGAGGTTCTTCCTGATTTATTGAGAGAACCTCTCACTGGTCCCTCACCCACACCCATGCCTGTCCAGTCTGTTTACTTCTGAAACGATCACTTTCATTGCCCCTACGCACAACCTATGATGGATTTCTAGAGCCTACGAGATCGATTGGAATTCCTTGGGTATCGATGGAATCCTTCCTCAGCCCTTTTTAGGCTGACCCCCTTCTGCTCTGAAACAGAATCTGTGATTCATCTAGGGCGGTCTTCTCAGCGCCCCTCAACTCCGAGGCTGGTTCTCACTTCTGCACGCCGGCTTTCCTCCTGTCCTTCTCTCCCGCTGATTGGAATCAGTCCTGTCTTTTGAAGCCCCCTTTGAAGTCCTACTTTCTTCGTGACACCTTCTCTGAACACCCGAGTCACAAAGAGTCTCCCGTAGCCCTCAAATCCTTGAGCATGTGTCATCTTTACTGGTCATGTGGGAGCCGCTCATGGCCTCCTTTAGTCTGTTAATTCTCTCTTTTCTGTGACATTGCAGCCTTTGAAGCAACGCCTTTATCTTTCAAAAAATAATAATAAAATAAAACACATCCTCATGGCACTAAATTCAGAGCTGTATCCCCTGTAGGGGATAGTTCTTAAACATCTTTTTTTGTTGTTGGAGAGACGCCCTTTTTGTTCTCGATCAAGATCTGTTCTCTCCGTGCTGAAGTTGTTCTAAGATGTTGCCTGCCCAAAGGGCAATCAGTCATCCTACCAGGAAGCAGTCCACGTGGCGTTAATACCATCTTTGAAATCGCAGGATGGAGAAGTAGGTATTTCAGGGGCTCTGGAGGCTGACTTGTCCCAGTTCAGCTCCTGGCTCTGCCTTTGCTAAACACAAACAAACCGGTGTTTCTCAACCGGGGTGTCGCTGGTGTTTAAGCAGGGAGAGTCTTGCGTGATGCAGGCATTCAGCAGGGATGACACCTGCCTACCCACGCATGGTGACAAAGCCAAGATGTCCCCGCATCATGGTTCCCCAAATCCCCCACTTGAGAACCTGTGAGACTATCTTGAGGTTGTCTCTGGGCAGCCGATGTATCCTCCCACGACTCTGCAATCAAACCTTAGAGGGTTTTGCTGTGAGAATTACGTTAGGGCGTGACGTGAAGTGTCTGGTACGCCGCTGATGTTTCTTGAGCACTTAGGTTATTAATTTATTGAATCGTCATCGTGGTCACCAGACGACACGTGACCACTCTGGAAGTAGGCCGACGGTCTGGGACAGGCTTTTCCTCTCTCCTCTCTGACTGCCCTTTGCCCAGGTGGCTTCGGCAGCCCTCTGTGCTTCTCTTTTCTTGTCTGGGGAGGGGGACACACCTGTCCTAACCTGCCTACGGGGTGTGGTGAAGATTACACATCCTTGGTAAAGCACTCGTGTCATTCCGAAGCGGCCGTTGGCTTCTTTTGCTAATTGCACATATGAGACTTTGCAAATTTGTCTTGGGAACTAAAAGGCATTTGACAGATGTTTTTATTAAGTGCCCACTATGAGCCTGGCCTAACTAGGAACTAGAGTGGGACACCAGGCCAGGAAAAAATAAGTGCAAGTTTATTTCTATCCTTGTTTGTTGCTAGATTGTTCCCACCTGTTCACTCTTGGAATTGCTGAGTGTGTGGGTGTGTGCGTCTGTTTGCATGTGTGCAAGTTGCGTTTTCTGACGGCAGTTGGATAGAGGAAGTGAGGGCAGAAGCAGGGAGATGGTAGTTGTGCTTAATAGTTGGACGAGAAGTAGAAAAAATTGTCAACTGGCCTGTTTTCCTACATGCGATGGTAGCTGGCTCGGTTCAGTCAAGTGTTGAAAACTCACCTCTGGAAATGGGGCTGATGGGCAAGTAGGTCTGATTTGCTGAAGTGGGACTGCCCTCTCATTGACGACTTCTTTCGTGGATACCTTGTTTTTCAGGCTGTGCTTCACCTCGCCAGGTGTGGTCGATTCCTTTGGATCCTGCCAAGTGAAACGAGGGCTGGGGGCGGAGGCAGCGACCCCAATAATTACATGACACAGCCTTGCCAGACGGAGAGCAAAGGGCAGGAAGAGCTGTTCTCCTTCAGGTGTGAGGCACCTTGTCCAAGGCGTTCACGATGTTTAGGGCTTTAAGTTTAATGGTGACTTAATCAGGGTGACAAAAAGGGTCCTCGGTAAGGAGGGAGTCCATCTACAGAAGAGAGAAGGAACTTGGTTCTTGTCTCTGCTCCCCGGAGCTCACAGTCAGTTCTTTCCATTCAGGTCATAGAAGACGTCTTCTGGCGAGTGTACGGTGCTGAGTCCATCTGAGTCGAAGACAGTCAACCCGTGGGTCTTGGGCCAGCTCTGATCCATAGGTGTGTTTTGTTGGGCTGACAGTGTTCGGTGTCTTTCTTTTTAAAAAAATAATTTTTTTTCTGTTTTGCTGTACGCAGGCCTCTCGCTGTTGTGGCCTCTCCCGTTGCGGAGCGCAGGCTCCGGACGCGCAGGCTCAGCAGCCATGGCTCACGGGCCCAGCCGCTCCGCGGCATGTGGGATCTTCCCGGACCGGGGCACGAACCCACGTCCCCTGCATCGGCAGGCGGACTCTCAACCACTGCGCCACCAGGGAAGCCCCTTAAAAAGATAATTTTTTATTGGAGTAATTTATAACGTGTTAACTTCAAGGGTACAGCAAAGTGATTCAGTTATACGTATACATATATCTATATTCTTTTTCAGGTTCTTTTCCATTATAGGTTATTACAAGATATCGAATGTAGTTTCTTGTGCTATACAGTAGGTCCTTGTTGTTTATCTGTTCTATGTGAAGTAGTGTGTACCTGTTAATCCCAAATTCCTAATTTATCCCTCCCCTTATCTTTGCCCTTTGGTAACGATAAGTTTGTTTTCTATGTCTGTGAGTCTATTTCTGTTCTGTAAACAAGTTCATTGTATCATATTTTATTTATTTTTTTAATTGAAGTTCAGTTGATTTACGATGTGTTAATTTCTGCTGTACAGCAAAGTGATTCGGTTATACATATATATACATTCTTTTTAAAATCTCTTCCTTTCCATTATGGTTGTATCATACTTAGGTTCCACATATAAGTGATATCAGATATTTGTCCTTCTCTGTCTGACTTACTTCACTCAGTATGATCATCTCTAGGTCCATCCATGTTGCTGCAAGTGACATTATTTCATTTTTTTTATGGGTTTCTTAAAGTTAGTCACCAATATTGCCAATTGCAATATCTCATTTAAAAGTCCCATTTTCCAGCTTCTCTTGAAAGGTCAGAAAATCTGGCAGCAGTGGGCTTTTCTTTCCCAGATGGCAAAAATCAGTGAGCTGAGTAATGCTGTCACCTTAAGACTGGACATTGGCTCTCAACGTATTCAAGTCCCCACGACTCCTGCCCCGACCTCCATCATGCCTGGCCCTCACGGCGGCCTGATTTCAGTTACTGCTGGCCCCGAGAGCATTCAGTCCGCATGCTAACCTCCTCTTGGATGCTGGGCAAGGAGGTGATGCTATGTGAGGTGCAGAGACTTAGCTGCCGGTTTCTTGGGGCCAGTGGTACCGCCAAGAATGTGTGAATCTCTGCTGCTGGGTCAAAAGGCCAAGAGTTCAGATGTCTCGTTCCAGCTGTGCCCTTGACTTTCACGGTGACCTGTCAGCAATCATTTCACCCGGGTCAAGCCAGTGGCAAAGTGCCAAATACCAGGGCTTCTGAATACGTCTGCCGTGGAACCATTTAAGAGGGGGGAAAATGTCCCCACATGAATTTTTAACATGGCTCTCCTCACTTTTCTCATTCTTCCCCAGTGTCGTATATCTTAGGGGTAAACATTGTTCTGGGAGTTCAGTTAAAGTCATTCTAATGGACAGGACCATTTTGAAAAACTGTTGGGCAGCATTCACTAAAGTTCAACGTATATATACTTTATGAACATCAACGTATACCCAACAAAAGTATGTTCACATTGCGCGCAAAGATGTTACTAGAATGCTCATTGCAGCCCTTTTAAAAAAATTTTTTATTGAAGTATAGTTGATTTACAATGTTGTGTTAATTTCTGCTGTACAGCAAGGTGATTCAGTAATACATATAGATACATTCTTTTTCATATTCTTTTCCATTACGGTTTATCCCAGTGTATTGAATATAGTTCCCTGTGCTGTACGATAGGACCTTGTTGTTTATCCATCCTATATGTAATAGTTTACATCTGCTAATCTCAAACTCCCAACCCATCCCTCCCCCACCCCCTCCTTCCCCCTTGACAACCACAAGTCTGTCCTCTGTGTCTGTGAGGCTGTTTCTGTTTCGTAGGTATGTTCATTTGTGTTGTATTTTAGATTCCACATGTACGTGATATCATATGACATTTGTCTTTCTCTGTCGGACTTAACTTCACTCAGTATGATCATCTCTAGGTCCATCCATGTTGCTGCAAATGGCATTATTTCATTCGTCTTTATGGCTGAGTAATATTCCATTGTATAAATATACCACATCTTCTTTATCCATTCATCTGTCGATGGACATTTAGGTTGTTTCCATGTCTTGGCTATTGTAGGTAGTGCATAGCAGCCCTTTTTGAAATAGCCCCCAAATTAGAAAGCACCCAAATGCCTGTCCACAGTAGAATGAATAAATAAGACTGTGGTCGATTCATTCACTGGAATACTATACAGCAGTCAACACTGAGTGAGCTACAGCTACAGCGTGGATGCATCTCCTGAGCATAATGTTGAGTGAAAGGTATACAGAGGTGATGCACAGACCGGAGAAAGACTATGTAGTGTATTACTATAGTTACATAAAGTTCAAAAACAGGCAAAGCTAATCTAAGGTGTTAGAAGTCTCAGGATAGTGGTTGCCCTTGGTTGGTGGTGCTGCCAAGAAGGGCTTCCAGGAGTAATGGTAATGATCTTGTGTCTTGATCTGAAGTACTAGTTACACGGATATGTTTACTTTGCGAAATTCAATGAGCTGTACTCTCATGAAATGTGCATTTTTCTGTTGTATATTTTATTGCAATACAAAGTTAAAATTCATAAAGGCAAAAAACACAAAAACCCAACCTAAGAGGTTCAGCGTTATAATTTCCAAGTACCCATGCCAGGATTTTTGTACAGAATCCTATATCCATCAGAGTTCTTGTTTGCAAGCAACAGAAATCACCCCTGGCTAATTTAAGCTGGAAAAAGATTCATTAAAAGCAGATTGCATTAGCTCACCATCTGCAGGAGGGTGGGGGAACCAGGTCTGGAGGCTCTGCGGCCAGGAACATGTCTCCAATGCTGTCAAGTTGGTCTGATGACGACATCGCTTCTAATCACTGGGCACTTCCATCACAGCCTACACCACTGATGCTGCGTGCAGGAGGCTGAACTAGAGCCGCTGCCTTTCCAAGCAGTCCATCCTTTCTGCCGCTGCTGTTACCGCATCCTCTCCAGAGAGGATTTCTCAGGACTTACGTTGCTTTGTATTACTGCTCCAGGCTCAAAGTCAGGCATGGGTGGGACTGACTGGGGGACCCCAGCCCACTGGTCTCTCCCTACATGCAAGGGAAACTGCAGAAAGAAGGACTAGACATTTTCAGCTTCAGTAGCAGGTGGCAGGCCCGCGGGGGCATTCCCCAAACTCAGGAGATCGACAGACGTCCACAAGCGAGATGATCTGCCTGGTAACAGCCAACCGGATCTCTCAGCTTCCGGCGGCAGAAGCTTTCAGTGTGACGATCCACATCTTGCTGGTCCTTCCTAGACCAGAGGGAAAGCGTGACCACAAAGAGAAGTCTTTTCTCCTTTACCACAATCCCAGAGTTCTCAAGCAGCGTGGAAGGGGGCATTCAATCCAAGTGCCTTGAAGGGGCAGGATGGAAATGAAGATACTTGCTAAATGGGAAGCTTGTACCAAAGCTTCTCCCCGAAATCCTAGGGCCAGGGGTGGGTCCCAGAGTCAGAGCAGTCAGCTCTGCAAAGAGATGTGTTGGCAGGATACTTGAAGGGCACCTGGTACAGCCTTCCACCCACTGCAGGAATTGTTTTTTGTTTATTGGATGACATTTCATTGTGCCCAGAGTTTCTTGTTGTTTTAAAAATAAATTAATGTGTTCTCAGTATTATCCACAGAGAAAAAGTAAGACTGTTTCTCCAGCAGAGTCATAATCTGAAATACGTCTGCAGGGTGTTGTTACAGCTTGATGTGATCGCGTCTTTGTATTTGTGCTTTTGGGGCTCATGTTACGGATTTCTTGGGCAAAGTCACCTACTCTTTCTAAGCATCAGTTTCCTCTGCTGTACATGGAGGATAATAAGGTTGTTGAGGGAAATAACCGTGGTGAAGCATCAATGGCTGTTAAATTAGTGGTAACAATAAGTGGGTTAGTGAGCCGGACCCTGGAGGGTTTGGAGGTAAAATGTATTTGGAGATAATATACTACAGCCTGATGCCCCTTTAGCTCTCTAGTAACTGTCCTGACGCTTGCACTTTGGGCAAAGCTGGGAGAAACACCTGGCCGGGCTCGCCATCTGCAGAGCCAGCTCTGCCGGCTGGAAGGATGGTCCTGGCAGCTTGCTGACCGGCCCGCTGTGCAGAAGCCCGTGGAGCTCATGGCCGTAGTATAAACAGGATGGAAGGAAGACAGGGTGCACCACGTGTTGCCCATCTTCCTCTCTGTCCCCTCTCTTGGTCACCTCCTGTCCCCTGGCTCATGCCACACTCCGGGCAGCCTGATGGGAGAGGAGCCCCCTGTTTGTAGGGACAGGACAGGCCCCAGGACAGGAAGATGCTCACTGGAAGTAAAGGCTTTGCCAGCAGACCAATCCACCTGAGCTGGGCCCAGCAGGGAAAGCTCTGGGACTGCAAGAGGTTAAAACGTGCCCCTGTGTTTACTTTTGTTGGCTGCCACACTGCATAATAATCTGTCAGCACGTCAGGTGCGGATTTATTTGTGTATTAAAAATTGCCTAGAGCGGACGGATGCAGACGCTCTACAGCACGCTGGAAAACGTGCCTCTAGCGCAAAAACAGCCTCTCCAAGTATTTCACCCTTTTAATAAGTGCATCTAATTAAACTCATATAACTTTTTTTTTTATTATATTTAAAAAACTCCTTTCGCTTGCTGAAGCTGAAGGTAAACTGTAGAGCGCAAGGAGAGCGTATGCTTCTCAGGTCCCTGCTCTTGCAAATGGGAAAACTCATCAAGTGGTGTGTTCTCTTTTGCCTTTTCCAGGCTGATTTGAAGAGAGCATCGCGAATGCTTGGGTGGGGAGTAGGGTGTCCATGTGGCCCAGGGGAGGGACCCGGTTGGCCTGGAGACAGTTACAGATCGTGTTTTGTCGTGCGTTTAATGTTACCGGTCAAATGCATGGCCGTGACCGTGCATTCACAGCCCATGTACATCTAGAAGGGGGGGTGGCCGTGGAATCAGCCCTTTAGAGAGAGACATTTCA